TAGCAAATGGCTGCAATATAACAAAGAGTGAAAAATTGAAGGGGGTCTGAATACTTTCCGTACCCACTGTACGTCAAGATATGAAAGAAAAGACCTGCCGCTACTTCTGTTCCATCAAGACTTTAAGAAGATTCACAAAGAAAAAGATCCATTTTCTCCAGGTCCCGAAAAACTGCACTGATGAAAACACCGTTTCTCCACAGGATGCTGATGAGTTCCAATTTCAACATGACATTGCTGGAGAAACACCGAAATGTATCTAAGACCTTAAATTAGTTCACACAGTCTGAAGCATCTATTTCCAGTATGAGTCAGTTTAGCCTGACTTCATCTGATCAGTCACACACTACTGAGACATACTGAAGGGACCAACTAGTGATAGAACGTTAGACTGACCAGGGCAACTATTGGCTGAAATTATTAGCACCAGTCAAGCTACTGTAAATCACAACATCCTCATCTATTGATGTAGTAAATAAAATGAAAAGGGACAGAGATGCTGGTTAAGGGGGCAGAAAATGCTCTCTCTCTCTCCCTCTTTCATGTGTTACATAGCTACAGGCCATGACAGCTTAGCATGACAGTTTAGCTACAAGATCAGACGGACAGCTGCAGACAGAGGCAACAAGACGGCCTGCCTCTCACACATGCACAAACACAGAGAGGTTTGGGTAAAAAGCATTCAAACAGACTTTGCTTGTGCTATTTATTAAGCAACTGAGTAGTACATTTGGAATAGAATTCAGATTGGTTTTCTAGTATCATATATTAGATGACTAAAGGCTATTATGCAAATTGATATACTAAATTATTGACCCTCTTTCTTTTTACAGTAGAAGATGAGACTGGCTGACTGAACATAGCCTATAAAGCTAGCCTATCGTGGTCAATTTTAACCGCTCACAATTAATAATAAGCTTCGAATTGAAACAACAACATCTCACAGTCATCTCTTGAACACAAGCTGCTTTTGTTAAATGGAATCAGACTAGAAAGTTCTCTCAGAGACGGAAAGAAACAGATTTCAGCCCGCGTCAGTTATTCAACACAAAATAAATGTTATATTCAGTGGTATTTCTCTACATCGAAATGATCAAATGACCACTACGGGTCCAGAGGGTAATATTCTGCTATAGTCATAATTACACACGGTCAATAGCATCCAAAATGTTACAAGCTCACTGTTTGTTTATCGGAGTGTGCATTCTAACAATACTCATAGAGGAAAGTAGCGGACAATGCTGATAGTCACTGGCACTTCTGAAGCATGTCTTCTGTTTCGTCTGTGTTACAACATTTGTCTCATCCGGTAATAAAAATATTATAATATTTATCTCAAATTTAAGTGGATTTGGTAAAATAGGATAACGTGGTGGTGGTGCATTTTTTTTTTTTTTTTTTTATTATTAAAGATAAACCTCGGACCTGCTGTTGAAAAAACCAGCATATGCTGGTTAGGTATGTTTTGAAGCTGGGATGCTGGTTTAAGCGGGTACTTTGCTGGTAGCAAAGGACCAGCTTAAACCAGCATCCCAGCGTCAAAACATACCTAACCAGCATATGCTGTTTTTTTCAACAGGTAAGTTAACCATATATAAAATAAACAAAAAGAAATAGATTGTACAAATCTCCAATAATAACCTTTATAGTAATGACACCTAATAAAGCTTCTAAAATTAAAAGCTTAATGTATTTTAATAAGTAAGCCATATTGTAGAATCGCTGTCAGCAACTCAAACATACATGCGTGTACATTAACAGGCCTTTATGCGGCTTATTTTGGTGTTCGTCAGTTATTTTTTCTCCAATAATTTTTATTGTTCATATGATCATGTATAAGGCCCGATGTTTTCAGGTGATGAAGTGACTGATTCGTTGTGATCGATGCGCAAACACAGGCCTCACTCGCCCACAGCGAATCACGGCGGCATATCCGACATAACAGCAGCACTCCCTGTATCTGTGGGCCTATTTAGTGATGTTACCACGTGTGTATTCTTTTCTATTTTGCATGCAATGCGCCATCGTAATGAAAGCTAGTCGAAACATAAATAAGTAATGCCAAATTAGCATCAAAACAATAAAACCTAACGTTACAGCCCATCCATGACCGCTTGTTTCTTTACACGAATGTGCCTCTTTTGGGCCATGCATTCTGGATGATTTAATTATTCTAAAACCACCTTAAAAACCACTATGCAGATATTTAATGTTAACATGCGAGCGTAAAAACGAGCGTGTTATATGAGCGAAGGTAATGCGCACACGTCTACAGCGTCTGTATTTTACCATTTTAAAATAACAATACGCATTAAAGTCGAGTTAGTTCATTCTTAACAATCAACAAAATCGCAGTTAAATCTGAATCGGCAGCAGTGATGTAATATTTGCCAGCGGGCAGTCCCGTTAGCGTCCTCCACACAGTGTTTGCCAAATTCCCATTCAATTCTAAAAGCAAAGACATAGCTACACTCACGTTGACGATCAATGTCATCTCCTTGATTCCTAGATATCACGATGTCAAATCACGCTGAACGCTCGCCACGTTTGGGTTGATTTAGTGCTGGAGATACTGAGCGCAACAGAGGCGCAGGGCTGGAGCGAGCGGCGCTACGTCACAATGAAGCGCACCCTCCCTCACTGTGCGTCCTCTTACAATGCTGACTTTTGGCCATCTTTACGGTGATACACGGTCACAAATCACGTCTTTTGGGTCCAGATGAGCGGTTTTGCATACTGTGGTTTGACAGCGTAAGGGTGGGAGGGGTGTCGGACTGCTGGTAACCCTGAAGGCAGCTCTTTGTTCTGCTTGCTCTCTAGTCATTACAGATGCATTTCTCATTGTTTAGTCGAAGAATGCCTGCCCTTACTCGCAGACTCTATAGCTGGCGTGTCTCATGAATGGTCTAAGGGCCCATCTGTCTGGGGGGCCCACCTAATTTTAGCTGGATACAATAGGGAAAACAGGGATTACAGTTGTTCTTGGGCATGCAATTTCAATGTCATTGCAAACATTTAAAAATGGCTTTTGCTTGCTAAATTGACAAATGTTGCTAGGTTGTTTTTTAGTGGATGCAAATCAGTAACCACAGATGTACAGTTTCGGTCTGTAAATATATTTGTTCAATATCTAAATAAATATTTAGTAAAAATATATTTGTAATATATTTATATAAATATATTTAAATTAAAATATTTGTGTGTATATATTTGTTCAAATATCTGAATTTTTATATAATTTAAAATTAAATGAACCATTTTGCTGTTTTAAAGGTGACATGAAAATCTGACTTTTCCAGGTTTTAAGTGCTATAATCAGGTCCCCGGTGCATCTACCAACCAAGGAAACGTGAAAAAGATTAACC